CCAGATTTTTATAGGCTGTTCACCACAGAGTGAGGAGTGAATCCAAAATATTTCATCCAGTTTCCAATCTATATATCTTAAATATCTTTAATTTTATAAAATATTTTATTCAATCTATATATCTTGAATATATTTAAATTTCACTAATAAACTTCCACTTTTAACATTTGTCATTCTAAATGCTGATTGGAGAATCTAGCTTATTATGTTCAATATCAAAGCTTCAGGGGTTGATCTAGATATGACTAATAGAAGTGCTTGTATTTCTAACGTTGCCTTCCTACTAAAATTATAATTGCTTTCCCTGGAGTGCAGATTTTCAGTCAGAGGAAGTGACTGACTCTCTTTAGAGCTAAAGCTTAATTTTTTTTTTTAAGATGGAGTCTCACTCTGTCACCTAGGCTCTGACTCCTAGGCTAGTGGCATGATCTCAGCTCACTGCAACCTCCGCCTTCCGGGTTCAAGCAAATCTCCTGCCTAAGGCTCTAGAATAGCTGGGATTACAGGCAAGCACCACAATGCCTGGCTAATTTCTATATTTTTAGTAGAGACGGGGTTTCATCATGTTGGTCAGCCTGGTCTCGAACTCCTGGACTCAGGTGATCCACTCGCCTTCGCCTCCCAAAGACCTGGGATTACAGGCATAAGCCACTGCACCCGATCTCAAACTTAAATAGCATATTTATAGTAGTATAAGACCTACGGTGGTGTATTTTAATATATATTACAAACATCATAACATTGGCTTTTAAAGAAATTAAGACAAATCTTCAAGTTGAAAATTTCACATTCTAACAGTGCATTAGTTCATGTAATCTTTAAACAAAGTAATTTGGTATTCATATTGCTAGAAAATGAAAAGTTGATAAAATCTCAGTTGAGTTGAAGTGAGTTCTAATGAGTATTATAAAGCTATTCACAGAAATCTGCAGAAACAATTTGAATATTCGACCTCAATATAATGTATTTTTGGAAAAGGGAGAGGAAAGATTTACAGAAAGTAGATAGTAATTTACATATAATAGTGCTTTACATTTATATGCCATTGATAATCATTTCAAAGTGAACTTTGAAATAGCAGTGACCCCCAAAAAGACAACAGCATTTCAAGCCCATTGGGCTAAGATTATTCCTAAGGAGAAGCAATTTTTCTTCAGTGTGAAGGGAGGTGAGGAAGACATATTTAAAGAAAGAATATTTGTGTTACAGCAGGAACTTAGCTCAGAAAATGTTTTCTTCTCGCCTAATGCTACAGAGAAACCCACATGAATATAAAGGAGAGTTTCCTACTTAAAGCCATAGGACGGAGTTCATCTGAATCTGAGAGGGACCTCACTTACAGGTTTGACACTGTATGGAATTGTGCAATAAAAATCAGGAACAAGCTTACCAGTTAGAGACACAGTAAAAGTTCTATTGCAAATCTTGGGGCAGTTGAAGCCAAAGTCCCATATAAGATGGAAACCTTCAACAGTTCCAGAGAAATTGAGGACTGACCACTTTATGAGGGACACAATCAGAGCAGCTTGGTTCAATGAGACTTGTAGCTATAAGCAGTCTGGATTAGAGAAAGTATGGAGACAACAGAAAAAGGAAATGGGGGAAAATATTTCTCTCAACAATTTGGCTAAGGGGCTCATTAACACTCTAGATAAGGTTTTTGATTAATTTTCATCAGAACTACATTCTTCAATTTGCAAGCAATATGTAATTTGCTGTACACTTTTATTCTTGGGATGTTACAAACTCATGCTCTTCCAGGATATTTTAGTGTATATAAAATTTCAAAAAAGTAACCAAGTTAAAGAAATAAAATGCAGCTTAAAACCTTTTAGGTTATGTTAAGAAGTATTTGAATCAGGAGAACCTAATAGTGTTTTAGTTCTGTCTTCATAGATCTATTAAGGTTCTTTTATAAAAAATGGTTAGAACAACAGAGTTTCATTGGATCAGTCAGCTCTTATTTCCACCCTGTGGTTTTTCACCTCTGTTATTTTGCCATGCTCTCCCTTTTGTCTAGAATCACCTTTTCCACTTCAACATCAGCACTCTTCTGTCTCCTGCCTCCAAACAGCAGGATAACTTATCCTCTCAAACAGCTTACATTGAATTTTTGCTAAAAACCTTCACTGTCCCACACCTGTGTGCTACCCTGTGCATGACCCTATGATTGCATTCGTGCATTTTACTTAAATTATATTTCCAACTCAGTATTCCCAAGCTGTGAACCCTTTGGGGTCAGAAGCTGTGTCTTATCCATCATTGTACCCTTAGCACCTTGCACTGTTTGTCCAGCACACAGTCTCCCAACATTAAGTGGAAGATTGAAGGGGTGAGTGAACTGTAATTTAGGGCTCATTGAATTCAATTGTCTTCATTTTGCAAAATAGAAAATGAAGGCCCACCCTTCTTTCTTTGCAATGTGCCAGATTGGAGAATGTTCTATAAAACACTTGAAAATGGCATATAAAACATCATTAACATTATCTCCCATGCACAGAGTAAGTCGCAATTACCAGGTACTCAGTTAAAATGGAAAATGAAAACCATGTGGTGAAGGGACATGGAGGCCACCACTGCTGCTGCCCGCGTTTGCTAAAGATTTCTTAACCTGATGATGGTTTTGGACAGTTAGTTCAGGTGGGCATGGAATTCAGTGCAAGGCCTTGGGTCAGGGCAAGGAGGGAAGTTGGGCTGTTTGATGGGTGTTTTGCTTTTGTGAAAGTGAGAACTAGGAAAAAAAATTCTCACACAAAAGAGATGATAAGGAAACTATCTTTTTCTGCCTGGACTCTGGTAGAAAAACATCTCTGAGAATTTATAATATAGATATTCCCTTGCAGGGGATTAGAGCCAATTTTATGTGACCTCCCTGGTTTTAAAAACCCCAACCTCAGGTGGCCTATTAACATCCTGGGGTGCCTGGCTGAGGCAATGTAAATTTCCACTATAGGGGAAGATTTCAACCCTGATGCACAGGCTTGTCACAGAGATACATGGGCTGAATGAACACTAACACACTAATCAAATTTTATCTAACACACAGGAAACAAATGTCCACAAGGCAGAATTATTGGATAAAGGACATAAAATTAATATACTTCAAATGTTTAAAGAAAAATGAGCCTCACTTTGGTTAAATAGAACTCAGCAAATTTGTGGCAAAAATCTAAACTGTATTCCATCCAGGGCCAGGTACATAATTTACAGGGTCCTGTGCAGAATAAGATTGCAGGGCTCCTTGGGAAAAAATGTTATAAAACTTGCTAAAAGAGAAAGCTTTTTCTTTAAAAAAATTTTATTACTTGTAAGCCATAACAGGAATAATAGTAATGTATGAGTAACAATACAAACTTACAAATTGCAATCATATTTTGGTATCATAATTTAAAATAATTAGTAATATAACAACTAATTATGTAATATTTTTGACTCAATTTTCTGTAAATTCATTTATTAGGTCATCAAAATTTATACTTTTACCAATTTGATTTTCAATTAATATAATTTAAAGCAATGTCAGTCCTCTTAGCAAATGCAAGGTTGCAAATACTTCTTGATAGTATCCAGTTTTTAAAGGGACCCTTCTGTTGATGCAACTATTAACTACACCTGCTACTATTATTTTATAGGCTGTGAGAACATTGAGATAAATTCCTGATACATTATTTTGAAATACACATTTTAGCACATCAAGAGCTAATGATTCTTTTTTTTTTTTTTTTTTGAGATGGAGTTTCACTCTTGTTACCCAGGCTGGAGTGCAATGGCGCGATCTCGGCTCACTGCAACCTCCGCCTTCTGGGTTCAGGCAATTCTCCTGCCTCAGCCTCCTGAGTAGCTGGGATTACAGGCACGCGCCACCATGCCCAGCTAATTTTTTGTATCTTTAGTAGAGACGGGGTTTCACCATTTTGACCAGGATGGTCTCGATCTCATGACCTTGTGATCCACCTGCCTCGGCCTCCCAAACTGCTGGGATTACAGGCTTGAGCCACTGCGCCTGGCACTTTTTTTTTTTTTTTTTAATGGGATTGAATCTCACTTTGCTGCCCAGGATGGAGTACAGTGGCATGGTCTCAGCTTAGCAGCCTCCACCTCTTGTGTTCTGTCTTAGCCTGCAAAGTAGCTGGGATTACAGGGATCTGGCATGACACTAGGCTAATTTTGTATTTTTAGTAGAGACGGGATTTCACAGTGTTGGTTAGGCTGATTTCAAACTCCTGACCTCAGGCCGTCTGCCTGCCTTGGCCTCCCAAAGTGCTGTGATTATAGGCGTGAGCCACAATGCATGGCCGAGAGCTAATGATTCTTGCAAAAAAACTTTTCTAAAAAGATTTAACTCTATTCAAATTGGTTTACCGTAAGTCTAAATTTAATTTTACATGTAAAGATATACAAGAGCATTTTATTTTATTGTTTTCTCTACCATTTCTCTAAAATATTGTTTTATCTAATATTTCCTATAATTTATGGCAGTTATACAAGAAACAAAAGATGACTTGATAATTTGTATACAATTCAGAACAAATATTTATGGATATTCTATCACTAACATCACTTGGCAGAAAAATCAGTCTTAAAATTGTCTTCCTTATTAATAATTGGTTCATCCAAAGCTTCATATAAGAATAGTATTTTTTTCTTTTGAATGTGATGACTTTAAACTGTTTCTGTTTCCGAGTCTATGGATATTTGCTCTGCAATGTTGCAGAAGTTTTTAAAACCAGATAGTTATAATAACTCTCTGATATGTTTTAGTGCAATGTCCATGAGCACAGTTTATTTTGTAATAATTTATTGACAAAGTTTATGACCTGAGTACAGGGAGTTCCTGTCCTAGTACTCAGACCAGTTAATTTTGGTACAGAAGCTATAAGGACAGGCTTTGGGGATAGAAGGGCGAGCCGTGATCTTGGTGCTGCCCCATGCAGAGCACATAGTCTCTCCCTGAGCCATGGCAGCTGCTGCCACTGTTGATGTTTCTGCCCATTGCTCAGGATTCCAGAAGACCCAAGCCTGCACACAGCGTGTTCACATCTGTCATGTCTGCTGATCATGTTTCATTGTCTCATCAGACTTCACCTACGAAACACAAGTAAAAGGTAAAATTACTATGAATTTCAAGTGAATGACAACTAAGCATTAAGCTGTGGCCCTTCAGTTGAGCAAACCCTGCGAACTGCAGACAGTCTCACCATAAGCAGAGAGCTGCACTGATTATACAGTTTTATTTTGTTCCCCCAACCACTTTAAAAGTAGATACAGCAAATTTATTCTCCCCAGAGAAATACTGGAAAAATTGATATATGGAATAATTAATTTATTGGCCTCCATTCAAGCAAGGTGGTAATAAAGTTTAAGTGTAGAACCTAGACCATCCATTTGATTTTAAACTTGAGGTTTTAGATGTTTAGGCTGTTTTTGCATGGTCCTGTCAGAAAGTACACAGATTTTCCTTATCTAAAATTTTTGATGTTTACCAATGTTTCCCTCAGTTTACTGCTGATTCTATCCAGGAGAGCTAGGACTTCATCTCAACTCTAAGCACAGCCTTGAAAATCCTGCTTAATATACAATACATTTGATGAAACTCAAGACAATTCATTATACTCCATGATGAACTGCTTTATATAGAAAGTCCATAGTATTTTAAAAGTCTTTCTATAATAAATGTGCGCAACTGTGTGGTTATGGGTGTGGATCTACCACCGTGTGAGTATGTAATCTCTCACACTAGATAACACTTTTTGATATGTTAGTGGTAAAGAATGTATATTTCATATGGTCTTTATATGCATATGGAAAAATCCGGTATGTGGGCCGATGAATATTTACAGCATATTCATAAAGTTGGTCTACAACCAGTTTCTATGAAGAATTGTGTAATCCTCACATTGGATCACTCCCCAATCTTTGCTATTTCCATCAGTACCTGAAACTAACTGAATCTGGGGTTGAGACAAGAAACACATTTATAGGGGAAATTTTGAATTTTTATTCTTCATGATGATTTGATAGAAAGGTACATTGGAAATGGCTTTTGAAAAGCTGGATGATTGAAATGATACTCTAACAGCACTATTGGAGGCTTTGCAACTAGCTAAGTAAAGCCACTTGGAAAGAAGGGTAAACTAACCTCATTCTTTCCAATGTCTTGTCTATCAGGAAAGAAAACATAAGGGCTACGTCTTCACTTTCAATATGATATGATAAACACAGACATGGAACGGCATTCATTTTGTTTAATATTCCATGAAGGTATGTGAGCAGGGTGATATTTTATTGTCTGGGAATATAACAGATGTCTATGTCATTTCCCAGTAATGAAACATGTCAAGAAATTATCATTGCTTGGGAAAATGAAGTTTAAAAGAGCATGCTTTTGCTAATAAATCATAGAATGTAACATAATATAGTGTGACTATGTTAAACAAATAATTATATCTACAAATGGAATCTGAGCCAGAAGGGAAACATACACTCTTTTGCTGTAGTTTGTATTCCACCCACACTCACACACAATTCACACATACATATCATATCATGCTTCAAGATCAGGGATGTGCTGCTTGCTGGCCTAGAGAAACTAGACTAGTGGGAAACACTGATTAAGATTTGGTAACCTTTGCCCTGTCATCCCTTCTCTAAGTCCCCATGTGTATGCCACACTCCCATATGAAATTTAGAGATATTTGTGTACTTGGTGTACTGAGCCTGCTTACTCATCCTTAAGCCAGAGAGTAGAATTTGGTGAAATTGACTATGCCACTGAATTGAATATCCAAAAACCCCAGTCATTTTCTATTCCCCAAATACCATAACACCAAATGTTCCATTTAGAATCTTCAGGCTTGGTATTTCCATGCTCATTTCAAAATTTGCAATTTCCCTGCTCTTCTCTCTGCCCATCAAATTCGAGGGGAGGTAATCCATACAGTGCCCTTTATACAATAAGCACACAACAAATGTGTACAAGGGAAATATACTAAAATGCCTTTCTGAAGTGCAGACCAATTATTTTTTTCTCTTCTCTTTACCCATTGGACAGACACTGGAGCAGATACTCAAAGAGTTTCCTGAATAGAATTAGTTATTCTTGTTGTGAAGATAAACTTCTGAGGCACCAGATAATGCTGATTTTTTTTTTTTTTGTCTTTTGAGGCTGGGTCAACCTGCTTTATGTTCTGAGTGAGCTGTGTAGATGTGTGTCTATGAGCTGGGGTGAGGTTGGAGGAATGGGAGACTATATTCAGCAGGCCTGACAGCATTTTCTAAATGTTACTACTGTTGGCACAGTCTTATCTTAGATGAGGTGGTAAATTAGTAAACTGCCATGGAGAAGTATGATTTTGTAAAATTAGATGGGATATAAAGAAACACAATTAATTCCAGACCCGCAGGCAAGAGTGATGAAGTAACTGGAGTCTTTGTTCTTTTCAGGCTATCAGATACACCATCTTTTCTTCTGAGTAATAGCAGGCACTCTCGGGCTGTCAGATGATATGCCAGGTATGCACTTGCAATGTCGACAAGGCCACCCCAGGGTTACATGTTGGTATCTTTAGGGAAAAAGAGTGAATCACCATCCAGCTATCTATTTGCTCCTGTTAACCCTAAACCCCAGTGTTACGTCTTGTCACATTTTTAAAATGACCACAGAGTGGTTATCAGCTGTTTTTTTATTAACTTACACTCTAAATTAACCAATGAGATATATGTTGGAAGACCCAGAAAACCCCATCCGTATGAAAATACAACTAAGGCCCATGCAATAATTCATATTTTAAAGAAATGCTGGAAACACTTTAGGTAGATGGTGACTGAAAAAAACCATTTGTGCACAGCCTCATGCTGAGAAAAGAGAAAAAATAAACATAAAAGAATAGGGTGCAGAGTTGTGCAAACTGAGGGCCACACATATGAGCTTAACACTATGTGGGGACTTCCTAGTAGCTATTCTATGGCCTGTGTGAGGCTTGCCCTCCTTCTGCTATTGTATCTCAGTTTTTGCATCTTCTGAGAAAGTGAGTTCCCAGGTCTTTCAACAATGGGTCTCTGGAATGCTGTACTCTAAAAGCAGGACTCACTTCATGTAGGTATTATGCATACAGGTTTTCATTCTTAACCCAAACAACTTAAAATTATTTTCTCCTGCCTAGAATCCCAGCACTTTGAGAGGTTGAGATGGTAGGATCTCCTGAGCAAAGAGTTCAAGATCAGCCTGGGCAACACAGGGTTTTTTGTAGAGACAGGGTCTCTACAAAAAATTACAAAATTAGCCGAGTGTGGTGGCGCATGTCAGCCGCTCACTCGGGAGGCTGAAATGGCAGGGTTGCTTGAGCCTGGAAGGTTGAGGCTGCAGCGGTCTGTGATGGGGCCACTGCATTCCTGACACAGCAAACCCTGATCTCCTAAACACACAACTCCCACCCCCCAAAACAAAAAATATTTAGAAAGAAGGGGTCTTGGAGATTAAATATAGGTCTCATACACTGCTAAAGTCCCTTTTCAGTGGTTTTCTGGAAAGTGTTTCTAGAGACACTTGTTAAGAAAAATAATCACAAAAATGTGAGAAAACAGACTTACATTAATCATCACTGGATGAATTACTTTGTCTTTAGGTAGAAGCTTTCTAATGAGAGGGAGGATATACAGCGGTGCTCATCTGATTCAGAACGTACATGGGATTCACCAGTATGACACCTCAACAAATGGTCTCTTCACACAGGTCAATAACACTCATTTCACAACTATTTATTGATCTATAATTTGCAAGTTATAGTCTGAGCACTAGGATATAGCAGCAGGCTCTTTTCATGGAAGATAGACAAGTAAGTAAGTAGTAGAGGCAGCTCTTTTCATTTGAACTGTGAGGGAAAACCTTTCTGAACAGGAGGCTTTGAATGAATTTCTAAAAGGAGTCAGTCAAGTGAAGACATGGGACGTGGCATTCCAGGCAGGGGAACAGCCCACTTAAAGGCCCTGAGGCAGAAACAGTAGTTGGCAAAAGTGAGTAAGCAACAGAGACAATTGACTGACAGGAGGTTGGGTGGTAAGTCATGAACTAGATCATTTTAGGTCTTGTAGGCGCTGGTTAGAATTGCTGACGTGATTTAGTTACAGTGGGGAGCCCTTGGAGGATTATAATTCAAGAGATTACTTGATTTTATGTTTTAAATGTATCATTCTTACTATGAATAATATTCTGTGAATAAGAGATTATATGGGCAAGTGAGGAAGCAGGGACACCAGCTGAGTATTGAAATGATACAGGATATAAATTATAGCAGTAATAATAGCAAACACTTAAACATGCTTACGATATGTCAAGTACTATTCCAAGGACTTTAAATATGGCAACACACTGAGTCTTCATAACAACTCTACCATAATTTCATGTTATAGATAAGGTAACTGAGGCACAAAAAGCTTGAATGGCTTGCCCATAGCTGTTAAGTAGCAGAAATGCAATTTGAAGTCAGACAGTTTGTGCTCTCAGCTGGCCCTCAATTATGGTAGAAGCAGTGGAGACAGAGAAACATGGATAGTGGATTAGTGCTCTATTGCTGTTGTGACAAATTGCCACAAACTCAGTGGGCTATAGCTTATGTCTTTATTATCTTAGAATTCTGTAGGTCAGAAGTTTTACTGGGATGAAATCAAAACCTAAGCAATTAGTTCCTTCTGGAGGCTAAGGGAGAATTCATTTCTTTGTGTTTTCTGGCTTCTAGATGTCAGCCCCATTCCTTGACCTGCATCATTCCGTGGCCCTGCCTCACATAGGCTTTTTTCCTCTCTCCCTCCACTGCCACCTTTATCACCTTTACCTTAGTGTCTTTCTTTTTGTTCTCTCTCTCCCTGATCTAACTCTGATTTTCCTGCCTCCCTCTTATGAGAAGCCTTATGGATTACATTGTTCCTACCCAGGGAATCCAGGATAATCTTCCTATCTCAAGATTCTTAACCACAACTGCGGGGGCCCCTTTGCCATGGAATATTCACAGGTTCTGGAGATTAGAAGTTTTTTTCTGGGGCATGGGAGGAGAGTCATTGTTCAGCCTACTATGCACAGGTTCAAGATGTGTTTTATAGGTACTATACAAAAAATTTTGGAGATCCATTGGATGTGGGGATTGAGAAAAGGATTTATGAACCAAGGATGCCTTCTGGATTTTTTTGGCTCGGACAACTGGCTGGATGATGCTACCACGTAACCAGATGGACAAAACACTGGGGAGAATCAGTTTTGTTGGGGTAAGATTGAGTTCAATTTTGTCTGTGATAAGTTTGGGTTGCCAAGCTGAGTTTTTCAGTAGTTGCTTGTAAGATAGCCATTGTGTATGCAAACCTTGAATATAGTAGAAGGAACAAAGCTAGAAAAAGGAATTTAGGATTTAGCATTTTTATGTTACTTAAAAAGAGTAGATTGAATTTGGATAATCAAAGAAGAGTATTGCTAGAGGAGAGGAGAGACCCAGAGACTGGTACCTTTGTCACTGATCCCTAAAACATACTTAGAGATTAAGTAGAGTTGGGTCAGCAAAGGAGATGGGAAAAAAAAATGGTCAAGAAGATAAAAAGAAAACCAGGCAAGTGTGGCGATAGATCATCCCAGAGAGGAGTGGATGGAGACTAAATGTCCACCGAAGGCCATTCCCTCCTTCGTCCACAGAATTAGACTAGCAGCTGGGCATGTGGCTACCCACTGAAAAGCTGTATTTTCAGCTCCATTGTACCAATATGTGACCACGGGACTAAATCTTCACAATGACATACGCTGTTTCCAGGCCATAGCCTTACCACGTTGCACGTGTTCCCTCCCACACCCAGCTTTCATCACGCTATGGAATGGTGGAGAAATAAGAAGGAGAAATGGAGAGCAGTGCAAACCTCATGTACGGTCTGTTTTGTGGGAGAGAAATGAACATAACTATTCTTTAAGGCAAGGTATTGTTAAGGCTTTTTTGTCCCTAAGCCACTATGTTGTTTGACTAGCTATATTTTAGTTAATTCAGACATTGTGTTAAATTAAGTTAAATTTGGCCCAAAGGTGTGTCTTGTCTTTGAGTTCCTGTGTAACAAACTGCAACCTAACTTAGTATGTAAATAAATATGCTGCAAACTAACCTAAAAGTATATTGTAATAAATAGCTGAGTCCCAGCCACTCGCAGTAGCTGAGTTTCAATCACAGACTGCCAAAGATCAGACCACGTCCACATGAGGCAAATGCCCAGCTGTAGCCAATCGAACTGGTTCTGTATGCCACTTTCTCTTTCTGTTTGTAAATACTGTCTGCCCACATTGATGAGTGGATGTCTGTGAACCTTTTCTGTTTCAGGGTGCAGCCTCATTCATAAGTTGCTTTTTGCTCAAATAAACTCTTGCTAAATTTAATTTATCTAAAGTGTTTCTTTTTAACAATTGATACTAGAAGTGGGGCTTTTCCTAACTAAGCCAATATATATGGTAGCTGCATAGCGGTCAGGCGGCAGGTGGCCTAGACATACTAGAATGCTTATGACCTTTATAATGCTATAACAAAACATTTGGTAAGCCGTGGCCTGCAACAAACTATATGGCCTGCACTCACCAAGACTATAGGGTAAAGAGAAACAACTGGATGTAGCTAGATTACTGTGTGTTTCTAGCGCCTTGCTGCTTTAGAAAAGTTTTTAAAAAGATACAAACTCAGAAAAATAGTGTCCAGAAATTTACACCCTCTGATAAACATAAGAGGAAAAGCTAACTCCTATACCTTAAGCAAAAAAGAAAAGATAGTTGTTACATGTAACCTTGAAGAAGAATAAAAAACAATACAAAAACATTAAACTCCCCAGGGAGAAACAGGCTAGGTAGGCAAAGAATGGACCAAGGGTGTGGCCTTCCAAACCAGGCCTGTTGGTTCACAAGACCCAAAAGTAGCTGCTATTAAGGTAAGAAAGAGGTGTGTGTTAAATAAGGAAACGAAGCAAGAATTAGAGTTATGCCCATAGAAGAACTTTAGTTAGGTTGCTAACATATGGGACTGCTTATGAGCCAAATCTTAATTCTCTGAAGTTGTTGAGGGAATTGTATTTTCAAAGAGATAATTGCTTAAGCTTTAACCAATATACAGGACATCAAAACTGTATAAGCAGAAAGTATGATACAAAGTTGTACGGTTGCTAAGAGTTCCCACCACCTACTTTAGATATGGCCTTGAAGGATAATGCAGTAACAAAAACTTAGCAATGTCCCTGGGGATGAAGGAACAATGATCAAGAGTTCTAGGGAGCAGAACTAGTGTCAACTAAGGAACTTCCTCAGGTGCCAAGGCAGGGAATCTTCAAAGACCTGTCCAGTAAGAATTCCATAATTCCTGTGGACAAGTGACTGACGTATTTTCCATTATTCTCTTTTAATTATTTATTAAGTTTTTTGTTTTAAAATAATTTTAGACTCACCAAAAAGTTGCATGAATATAAAGTTTTCTTATACCTCTCACCTAGCTTCCCCTAAAGTTAATATTTTGCATAACCATAATATAATGATCAAAACTAAGAAGTTAATACTGGCAAAATCATATTAACTAAATCAGAAACTTTGTTTTAGATTTCACTAGTTTTCCCATTAATGTCTTTTTCTTTTTCTGTTTCAAGATATGATCTGGAATTCTATATTGTATTCAGTTGTCACATCTCCTCTAGTCTCTTGACAACCTGTGACAGCTCCTCAACCTCTGGCTTTTCTAGAAAACAGTATCGGTCAGTAATTTTGAGAAAAGAAAATTTTTCTCCAAAATTACTGACCAATACTCTTCAAAAGGGCAAAGACATTAAGGACATTTTCAAGGTCTTTTGATAAAGGTTTTTCTATTTGGGTTTGTCTCATGTTTTCTTATGATCAGATTGAAGTTATTCATTATTGGCAGGAATGCCACAGAAGTGATTATGTCTTTTTCTGTGTATCATATTGAGGGCATATGAAATGAATATGTCTCATTAGTGATTATGTTAACTTTGATCACATGGTCAAAGCAGTTTCTGGTAAGTTGCTAACTTTTCCTTTGTGATTAATAAATGTCTTTGAGATGTTGAGAAATACTTTGTGACTATGCAAATATCTTGTTTCTCATCAAGCTTTTTTCTAATTATTTTAGCATCAGTTAGTAGGACTAATGGTGATTTTCATTTCTTCTGTATTTATTAATTGAAGTTTCTTATCAGGAAGTGTTGTCTCACATTATTTATTTATTCAATTATTTATTCATATCAAGTAGACTGACATTTATTATATTTTATGGGTATAAGATAATGCTATCATTGTTTATTTTGTTGCTCAAATTATTCCAGCTTGGTCATGTGACACTCTTAGATTGGCTTCTGGATCCCTTTGACATACCTCTTTCCTTGAGTACCATTTCCTTACTTTCTGCTGCCATGCAATGCTCAAAGTTCACCACTGTATTTTCCCTGCCAAGCCCTGGAATCTACGTCTTCTCCAAGGACTTCTAGTTCCTTTTGTTGGGGAGAATTATGTTTAAAACCAAGAGGAATAGATACGCTTATTTCTACAAGTGTGTCATTACTTCTAGATCCTCTCAGTGCACAAAGATTGAATAGAATATAGGTATATATATGTACATGCCTCAATTAGTGTATATATACACACACACACACATATATACATACATATGTGTATATACAATTAGTGTATATATATATATATATATACACACACTGAGGCATGTACTTATATACATAATATATATACACATATATACACTAATTGAGGTGTGTACATCTACACTTCTGTATCTATTTGTATTTATATTTAAAAAAACATTAATTGCTACTGATAGATCTGATTTTAGTCCAACACCACAGTGTTTATTCTAGCTTTCTGCATTTTCTTATTTGTGACTTCTTTCACAGTGAGAATCCTAGTTCTCATTATATACCAAATATTCACTTACGTATTTATAGTACAAACATAAAGTAGTTTCAGGATTGCTAACTCATTCCCCCGAGAGAAGACAGCGTCCTTACTAGAATATAGTAGTGTACTTTCTTTTAGTATTTAGTCGTACAGCATCTGATCAAAATACTAATTTTCAAAGTAATTCAGTTAAGTCCTTTTCTTTCCTACACTCTTTAGCAGGGTCATGCTATTCATTTGTAATATAGTTAGGTTCGTTTGTTAAGTCTGTAGTCCATTTTGGGTCCTTCCACAATATCCTGGTTTAAAAAAAATTTTTTTTTACATTCAGTAAAATTTGCTCTTTTTATATAACTCTACAGGTCCTGACAAATACATAGTTATGTATCCACTTTTATAATCATGATAGAAAATAGTTGCATCAACCCAAAAGTTATCTTTGCTGATATATTTCTAATTAACCCCCTCCGCATCCCCATCTCTGAAAACCACTGTCTCATTATCTGTCTGTAGAGTTTTGCCTTGCCCCGAATGTTTTATTAATAGAATCATAAAGAGTTTTCTGTATCACATCTTAGGTCTGGCTTCTTTCACTTAGCAGAACACATTTTAAGATTCATCTATGTGGTTGAGAGCATCAATAGTTTGTTGCCTTAATTGGTGAGCAGTATTACATGGTATGAATTTTTTTATATTAGCCATTCAAATAGGTGTCTAGTTATATCTAATTGTGGTTTTATTTGCATTTCTCTAAAGATTAGTGATGCTCATTTTCTATCCATGTATCTTCTCTGGTGGAGCCTGTCTATATATTTTGTTCATTATCAATTGGGTTGTCTTCTTGTTAAGTTTCAAGAGTTCTTTATGCATTCTGGAAACAAACCATTTGTCAGAAAGATGACTTGAAAGTATTTCTCTCCTTCTGTGGCTTCTTTTTATTCTTAACTGTGTGTTCACAGCATAAAAGTTTTCAACCTTGAAAAAGCCCAAATTATTGTTTTTTTAAATTGAATTATTCTTTTAGTGTCAAATATGAAAGTGCATTGCCTAACCCAAGGTCAAAAATTTGTTCTCTTATATTTGCTTCTAGAAATTTTATAGTTTTATGTATTATATTGTGTTTTATCATCCCTTTTGAGTTAATTTTTATATAAGATTTAAAGGACCCATGAGGTTCTTTCTTTAACATACAGATGATATGGTAAGCAGAATTCTAACATAGTCCCCTCAAGATTTTCTACCCTAATTCCTGGGTCTATGAATATGATGAAATAATATACCCTGATTATGCTACTGTACAAGGTGTAGAAGATTATGTGGATGTCATTAAGGTTACTAATATGTCGATTTGCAGGTTTACCAACAGGGAGGTTAATAATCAGGATCTGTATTATACAAACAACCATGTGAACTTAAAAGCAGATATTTTTCTCAGAGTCTTCAAATACCAGTCCAGCCAAGCTGACATCTTGATTTTAACCTGGTAAGTTCCTGTGAATATGTGATTCTTTCACTAATAATTATTGGATATTCATTTTGCATTTCTGAGATAAACACTGCTTGGTTATGATATATTAACCTTTTTATATGGCTGGACTTGATTTGGTAATTATTTGGCTGAAGACTTTGTATCTATGTGCCTGAGGGATATTGGCCTATAGTAAGTCTTACATCAAGTCTTGAAATGGAAGAGATTCCTTTAATGTTGTTCTTTTTCAAATGTGTTTTTGCTATTCTAGTTTCTTTGCCTTTCTGTATACCTTTCTTTTAGAAGTAGCTTGATGATATTTACAAAAACGTCTGCTGAGATTGCATTGAGTGTATAGATTTAATTGGGAGAGAAGTGAAAGCGTATTAGTATTGAGCCTTCCAATTTATGAACAAGTTATAGCTCTCCATTTATTTAGATATGATTTGCTATTTTAATAAGTGCTTTGTACTTTTTAGCATTTAGATCTTGTACATTTTTAATAAATTTATATCTAATAATTTTTTGGGTGCTGTTATAAATAGTACTTCAATTTTTTTTCAAATTCTCACTGTTGTTAGTATCTAGAAATACAGCTGATTTTTGTGTATTGACCTTGTTTTCTGCAACCCTGATAAACTCATTTGTTACTTTATTACCTTTTTTGTGGATTCTTTGAAATTCTCTATATCTATTATGTTGTCTGTGAATAGAGACTTTTTTCTCAAATATGTATACATTGTATTTTTTATTGCATTATTACACTGATTAGGACATATGCATGATGCGAAATAGTTTCAGTGAAATAAGACATCCAGTCTCTCACCAGAAAGTTTGATGTTAGCTGCAAGGTTCGTGTGTGTGTGCCTTTTATCAGGTTAAAGTCATTCTTTTTTATTCCTAGTTTGCTGATCTTTAAAAATCATTAATGTGTTGATTTTTTCCCCCAAATACCTTCTCTCTCTCTTGACATGATTATAAAATTTTTCTTATTTAGTCTGTTAATATAGTGAGTTACCTTGATTGATTTTTATTTTTATGTATGAATTATTTTTAGGTTCTAGTGTACATGTGCAGATCGTGCAGTTTATTGTATAGGTATACATGTGCAATAGTTGTGGCTTGTTGCATCCATTGCCCCGTCATCTACATTAGGTATTTCTCCTAATGTTAGCCCTCCCCAATCCCCCAACTCCCTGCTATTCCTCCCCTATCTCTCACCTCCCAGACCATGAGGTGTAATTTCCCCTCCTGGTGTCCATGTGTTCTCATTGTTCAACACTCACTTATGAATGAGAACATGTGGTGTTTGGTTTTCTGTTCTTGTGTCAGTTTGCTGAGAATGATGGTTTCCAGTTTCATCCATGTCCCTGCAAAGACATGAACTCATCCTTTTTTATGGCTGCATAGTATTCCAAGGTGTATATGTGCCACATTTTCCCTGTCTAGTCTATCATTGATGGGCATTTGGGTTGGTTCCAAGTGTTTGCTATTGTGAACAGTGCCACAATAAACATGCATGTATATGTGTCTTTGTAATAGCATAATTTATAATCCTTTGGGTATATACCCAGCAATGGGATTGCTGTGTCAAATGGTATTTCTATTTCTAGATCCTTTAGGAATTGCCACACTGTCTTCCACAATGGTTGAACTAGTTTACCCTCCCACCAACAGTGTAAAAGTGTTCCTATTTTTTCACATACTCTCCAGCATCTTTTGTCTCCAGATTTTTTTAAGGATCGCCATTCTAACTGGTGTGAGGTCATATCTCAATGTGGTTTTGATTTGCATTTCTCTAATGACCAGTGATTATGAGCTTTTTTTCATGTGTTTTTTTGGCTGCATAAATGTCTTCTTTTGAAAAATGTCTGTTCATATCATTTGCCTACTTTTTGATGGGGTTATTTGTTTTTTCTCTTGTAAATTTGTTTAAGTTCTTTGTAAATTCTAGATATTAGCCCTTTGACAGGTGGGTAGATTGCAAAAATTTTTTGCCCATTCTGTTGGTTGCCAGTTCACTGTATTGATAGTTTCTTTTGCTGTGCAGAAACTCTTAAGTTTAATTAGATCCCATTTGTCTATTTTGGCTTTTGTTGCCCTTGCTTTTGGTGTTTTAGTTATGAAGTCCTTGCTCATGCTTATGTCCTGAATGATATTGCATAGGTTTTCTTCTAGAATTTTTATAGTGTTAGGCCTCATGTTTAAATCTTTAATCCATCTAGAGTTAATTTTTGTATAAGGTGTAAGGAAGGGATCCAGTTTCAGTGTTCTGCATGTGTCTAGCCAGCTTTCCCAACACCATTTATTAAAAGGGAATCCTTTTAATTAGCGCCACCATGCCCAGCTAATTTTTTGTAATTTTAGTAGAGATGGGGTTTCACCATGTTGAGCAGGATGGTATCGATCTCTTGACCTCATGATTCACCGGCCTCGGCCTCCCAAAGTGCTGGGATTACAGTAATGAGCCACCGTGCCCGGCCTGTTATTTTATTATTATTATTATTTTTGCTTAGGATTGTCTTGGCTATGCAGGCTCTCTTTTGGTTCTATATGAGGTTTGAGGTGTTTTTTTTTCCCCATTTCTGTGAAGAAAGTAATTGGTAGCTTGATGGGGATAGCGCTGATTCTGTAAATTACTTTGGGCAGTATGGCCCTTTTCAGGATATTGATTTTCCTAACCATGAGCATGGAATGCTTTTCCATCTGTTTGTGTCGTCTCATTTCCTTGAGCAGTGGTTTGTAGTTCTCCTTGAAGAGGTTCTTCACAACCCTTGTTAATTGTATTCCAAGGTATTTTACTCTCTTTGTAGCAAGTGTGAATGGGAGTTCGCTCATGACTTGGCTATTTGTCTGTTATTGGTATATAGGAATGCTTGTGATTTTTGCACATTGATTTTGTATCCTGAGACTTTGCTGAAGTTGTTTCTCATCTTAAGGAGATTTTGGGCTGAGACAGTGGGGTTTTCTAAATATATAATCATGTCATCTGCAAAGAGGGACAATTTGACATCCTGTCTTCCTTTTCGAATACCCTTTCTTTCTGCTGCCTGATGGACCTAGCCAGAACTTCCAGTACTGTGTTGAATAGGAGTGTTGAGAGAGGGCATCCTAAAACTTGAACCAGTCTTGTATTTTTGCAAGAAAAACTATTTGGTCCTGGCATAGTAACTGTTTTATATATTGCTGGACTTTATTTTGCTAAAGTTTTATAGAAGATTTTTGTGTGTATGCTCATGAGGGTGAGGGATATTAGCCTATATTTTTCTTGCTTTGTGTGATGTTTTTGGTTTTGATTCTAAGGTAATGACGGCCTCATAAAATGTGTTGAGGAGTGTTTTTTCCCTTTCTACTTTCCACGAAAGATTGTTTATAACTGGTATTATTTCTTCCATAAATGTTTGATGAATTAACCGGTGAAATCACTCAAGCTTGGAATTTTCTTTGTGTAAACGTTTCTAGCTGCAAATTTAATTTCTATAATAGAGGTAGGATTATTCAGGTTATTTTTGTTTTCTTGAGTTAATTTTGGTAGTTTGTATCTGTCAAGGAATCAGTTCATCTCTTCCAAATTGTGGAATTTATAGGCATGGAATTATTTGTAGTATTCATTTACTATTCTCTTAATGTCTGAGAGGTCGGAGTGATAATCTGTTCTTTCATTCTTGTTAATAAGTTATAATGATTGTGTTAGCCATAAACAACACATTTCCAAATTTCATTACATAGTATTTTAATTACGTTTCAGTTTAAAGTATCTTAAAATTTTCTCAAGACCTCCTCTGTGAATGATAGGTTGTTTATAAATGTGTTCTTTCATTTTCAAAGGTTCAGATTTTTTTTTCAAATATTTTTCTGTTATTGATGCCTATTTTAATTTCTTTATGATTCAAAAACATGTTTTGTATGAATTCTACTCTTCTGAATTTGCTAGTCTTTGTTTTGTGGCCCAAAATATAGTCTATCTTGTTGAATGTTTTGTGTGCAAACTATCTTGTACTGTTGCCGTTAAGTGTTGCATTTTACATAGCTTCAAATTGAAAGTCTGTCTAATGTTTATACTGCTCCGTATTTTGGTACTATGAGCTATAAAGACAAAATGTATACCTTTTGGCTAAGGTTTCAGTTTGTGGATGGAGCAAGCACAGTAAGTGAAGGAATACTGTAACTTAGGGAAAAGGAAAGATGCTCCTCTCAAAACAGGTTCTCTGCTTCAGTGTGACTCTATCAGGTTTTGCCTGCTATTCTGGCTCTGTTTTTTCCATGACCAGGGTTCTGTAACCTTAACCTGACACTGAGGCTTGTACATGACCTTGGAATCAATTTTGACCAAAGGCGACAACGGGATTTAAGCAATTTTATCCATCACTAATTCTGAGCCTCAGGTCTTCTTCACTGCCATCAGTCATTGCTGCTAGGAGCCCTAAATTCTGGTAGAGGTCCATTTTGCTGAGAGTCTTCTCAGCAAACACTTCAACACACTTCAACAGAACCCCAAGTTAACTCCTAATGAGATGTCTACCACAGGAGTGGACTCTGTAGAAATTGCAATGTCTTGAGTCAAAGTTGGCAAAGGCTTCTCTGCTCTAAATACTAGCAACATCTCTGAACAGCAGACAGCATTTTAGAGTGATACATCTGGAAAGTTGCAAGCGCAAAAATACATCTGTTTCCGTTGTTATAGAAAGATAAACAGGACCAGACTCAAGACACTGTGGGAAAAAAGTTCTTGCGTTAGTCTGCTTACTGTTTACTGCCTTTCTGGAGGAAGAAATGTCACAGATGTGTCAAATGGAGAGGACAAACTGGTATATACAGTGCAGTCATCTCAGATATTTCCTGTGAGCGATAAAACAAGATTGCATCAACATGACGGAAAGAACACTCAGCTGGTTTTTTATTTACTCATATTTCCCCACATTATATCAAATTCAGAAATAACAAGAAAGTCACATTTAGCTTTGCATTCTGGCTCTTTGAGCCATTTTGTTTAAAAATGGGTTAATTGTCCTTTC